AAAATTGAAATACTTTTCCTGCATCAAAAGTTTGTTCAACAAGTTTATGATATAATGGAATAATTAAATTTGATGGAATTCCAAGTCTTTTAAATTGTTCTTGATGACTTTGCATAAAAAATACTGCTGCAGTTGTTATGTCTTGCATCAATTTTAATTCTTTATTCTTTCTTCCTTTTTATTTTTTTTTAGGGTTTTTTTTTCATTTCTAAGTAATAAGAATTAATTCATTCATGTATTATGTTAATTAATATTAATTAATGAAGTATTAAATGAATTGTTTTTGATAAGAAAGAGAATAAAAGATATGACTTGTTATTTATTTTGTAAGAGTTATATGATGGTAATACTTAAAAATATTTAAGAATAAAATATGAAGAAGATAATGAAGAGTTTAAAGATATTAAATAAATATTAAATAAAATATTTTGGTTTAAAATTTAAAACTTTTTAATAATAAAATGGAAGAGCAAGAAAAAAGAACAACAGAACCAATGCAAGAAGAAGAAATAAAGAAAAAAGAAGAAGAAGAACTAAAGAAAAAAGAAAGAAATGAACATAGAAACTATCCACCATTATTAAAAATTTATCCAATTGAAAATTATCAAATAGATAAAAAAGAAAAATTAGATAAATTAAAACATCAAACATTTGGATATCAAATGGACCAACTTAAAATATCAGTTGAAAAGAATCATGTACCAAGAACATCAGTTTATGGAGTTATTTTAGTTCATAAAAATAATTTTCCACATTTATTAGTATTACAATCAAATTTATCAATGGATTTAAAAGATGAAATTCATCTTGTTGGAGGAAGATTAAAAATTGGAGAAGATGATCCTGTTGAAGGATTAAAAAGAAAATTAAGAAAAAAAATGTCAATGGAATATATTACACATTATGAAATAGGAGAATTACTTGGAACATTTTATAGAATAGAATATGATAAAAATTTATATCCATATATTCCAGTTCATGTAAGTCAAGTCAAAGAAATTATTAATATTTATATGATTCATCTTGTTGAAAAATGTGATTTTAAAATATTTGATACAGACAAATTAAGTTCAATTCCACTTTTTGCTTTACATAATAATTTTGAAAAATACAATATTACACTTTGTTCTATTCCAACTTTAGTTTCAAGGTATCTTATGATTTATGGTTAATAAAAAATAATTTAATATGAATTTGTAAAATTTGAAATTCTTTTCATTAAATAAAAAAAAAAGAAAAAAGAAAAGAAAAAGAACTTAAAGAA